CTGTTTTAAGTGGAGGTAAAGGGCGGTGTCACTTGCAAAATAGAAAAGAGATGCTGTTTCTGATAACACTCAGTGTGTCCATTTAGAACTAGAGATCACTGCAAGACCAGGTCAACTTAAAATACAGATAAAGAAAACAACAACCAAACCCACAGCAGCTCTTGCTACTTGACCCTGTGAGTTCGAGGAGATGTGGGGAAAAAACCTGCTTCAGGAAAGTCACACCAGGCCACCTTAAGCACAGTATATACAACAGATGCTCAGAGCTACATCAAGTGGCCTTACAGCCCTGGGACCAAAGTTGGAGAGGTAGTGAAGGACCAGATATGCAAGGCCTTGGAGGACAAGACAGAATGAGTGGCCCGGACACCAAGGAGTCACTGGGAAGCAGTTAAGCAGGAGAGTAACATTCATCCATTCTCAAGATTGTTCTAGGTGGTATCTGAAAACTGTATCAGAAGGAAAAAGAGTAAACATGAAAGCTAACGCAGCAACGCATGATGGTAGCTGTAGTTAGAAGCCAAATGTGAAGATGCGCACATAGCCACTGTTGATATCTGAAAGGAACTGGTTCTATGACCCAATAAGAATATCAAAATTCAGACTTATCAAGTCCCTTATATAAAATGGCATTTATTTGCACATAGCCCAGATAGATCCTCCTGTGAACCTTAGAACGTCTCTAAATTGCTTATGTTAATGCAAAGTAAATGCTATGCTAGTATCACATTATTTTATTGGGGGAGTAATGACGAGAAAACCTGTATATATTCAGTGCAGATGCAACTTATCTTCTTAAATGTTTCCAACATGCTGTTGGCTGAGTCCATGAATTTAGAATCCACAGGTACAACTGTTGAATGTGCTGGGACGTAAGATCTTTTGAAGTTTAATTCACAACACTTTGCTATCTTAAATGTTGAAGTTCAACATGCTGAAGTTACTCCCGAGTTGGAGCAACTGAACTATAGGAGTATGGATTACTATGACAGGAAAAAGTGGAGGAGGAGGAGGAAGAAGAACAGGAGGAAGAGGAAGAGGAGAAGGAAGAAGAGGAAGAAGGGGAGGAGGAGGAAGAAGAAGAAGAGGAAGAGGAGGAGGAAGAAGAGGAGGAGGAGGAAAGGGGGAAGGGGAGGAGGGTTGGCAATGGGTGGCCACAAACTACTGTCACCCCTCAGTTTGGGTTCTGTGAAATTGGAAATGTCACCCCTCAGTTTGGGCTCTGTGAAATTGGAAAGGTCTGTGAGGTGTGCAGGTAGGGATGTGAAATGAGCAGTTACACAGAGAAGTTAAGTTCCAGGCTGCAGTCGTACTGACTGGACCCTTTGCTTTGAGCTTGAGTTCACATAAACTCTGAGTTGAAGAAGAAAGGAAATGACAATTTCCTGAGTTCTACCAAATCTCAAACCTCCAACATGTCACAGATGTGTCTAAGGTGCGTACTCATGCTCCAGCACTGACTTGGTCCATGCCTGCTGTATTAAAGTTACTATATGCTATGATGAAACACCATAACGAAAAGCAAATTTGAGAGAAAATGATATATTTGGCTTTGCTTCCACATCACTGTTCATCACTGAAGGAAGTCGAGACAGGAACATAAACAGAGCAGGAACCTGGAGGCAGGAGCTGATGCAGAGGCCATGGAGGGATGCTGCTTACTGGCTTGCTCCTCATGGCTTGCTCATCCTGCTTTCTCATAGAACTCAGGACCACCAGCCCAGGGATAGCACCACCCATAGTGCAAAATGAAATTATAAAAACAACAAAATAAAAGCACACATATATGTCTTGATGGTTTCAGCAAGTGTACAATTTTTGTGTTAGTCCAGGGCCACATTCATATACTATGCCAGCCTCGCTTCCCTGGATGAAAGCAAAGCAGAAATGAGCTAAAAGAATCCGTCTTCCTTCAGTATCACAGACAGATAGATGCACCATGGGGTAGAAATGTCTAAGATGTTTCAAGAGAAATTGGAGTTGAAAGATGGCCTGATATTGAAGACTGCATGTTTGGGGCTTAAGGGGGAGGAAGTGGGGGCCATCCAAAGGACAGGAGAGGCTTCACTTCACAGCTGTGCTAAAGACTCCCTCTCCTCCCCCTGTTCTTTTCCCAGCTGCAAAGATATTTATGCCAATTTCACAAACATCTTTCTCTAGCGTTAATCACCTGGAGAGTGTTTCCATGGCAAGAGCCAAAGTTCACTCTTGCTAATAGGCAAGATTGGAAAACACAGAACTGTAGTTTTTTTTAAAAATATAAAACAAACCAAAGTAACTAATACAACACCTTCTCTCACAAGAAGCAAGAATAATATCTGTGGTAAAAGCAGGAATAATGTATGAGCTTTACATTTGTTTAAAAAAAAAAAAAAGAACTGAATCAAGTTCTGGCAACCTCGAACCTTGACAATATAATCCCAAATTAAATCCAATTGTAATGGGAGAAGTTGCCAATCTGAGATTTCACTTGCTGAGCAGACACTACTAATTATGTTTTTCTTTTTTCTTTTTGGTTCTTAAAAAGCTTTTATGTGTTAAGATTATAATATAATTATATTGGTTCCCCCTTCCCTTTCCTCCCTGCAAACCCTCCATATGTGCTTCCTTGCTCTCTTTCAAATTCATGGCCTCTGATTTTGCATTGTGTTGTTAAGTGCATATATGCACACGCACAGACACATATTTCTAAACGCATACACTTAACCTGCTCAGTCTATATAGTGTTGCTCGCATGCATTTCTATACCTGACCATTTGATGTTAGATAACTACCTGACGTGCTCTTCCCTGGGAAAGACTATGTCTTCCGCTCTCAGCATTTCCCAGTTGCCTGCAGTTCTGTGTGTAGGGTTGAGGTCCTGTGGGACCTCTCCTTGTACAATCTCCTTTAGCATATCTGTTAGTGCTGCCCTCGATCGGCTCATGTTTAGGCGGCCTTGTTGGTGAGACTTTATGGGTGTGGCTTCTGACAGTCTTAGAAGAAGCAAACTTACTGTTCCTCAGTTTACAATCTTTCTGGCCCCTCTTCTGCAATGAGCCTTGGGTTTAGGAATTGTTTTGTAGATGTAGCCATTGAGACTGGGTTCCACAATTCTGTACTTTGGCTGGTTGTGGTTTTATGTTCTGGTTTCTATCTGTTGCAAAGAGAGGTTCCTTTAATAAGGAGTGAGAACTACACTTATCTGAGGGTATAAGACAAATATTCAACGTTAGGAATTTGCTGGCTTAGTAAAGTGACAGTGTAGGATCTCCGATAAGGTCCATTACAGCAGGCTAGGTTTCCAGTAGCAAGCATGGTTTCCCTCTAGATAAGGCAATTTTAAGTTCAATTAGAAAGCTATTGGTTACCATCTAGGTGTGTGAGCAGTGCTTCGTGTAGCCCAGGCTAGTTTAAACTCACTGTGTAGCCAAGGATGATGGTCTTGAACTTCTGACACTCCTGCCTCTACTTTCTAAGTGTTAAGATTATGGACATATGTTACCATACCAGACTTACTATTTTTTAAAGACAAACTCTTACTGTGCTAGCTTAGCTGTCCTGAAACTTATGTTCTAAAACATAGCCTGGTTATGTAGACCAGGCTGGCCTAGAACTCTTAGAGATCTGCCTGTTTCTGCCTTCCATGTGCTAGGATTAAAGACATGTACCACCACGCCCATCTTCTAGTAATACTTTAAATATAAATATAAAAGCCTTGGAGAGAGAATACATAGTGACTGTTTTCATTAACAAAATAAAAAGGAGAGAGATTATGGGTTAAATATTCATGTCCTTATTCAAGTTATTTTTCAGTGCAAGAAAAAGTATTAAGACATACAGTCTCTCAGAGAAGCAGGGAAGGGGTCTGGTGGGGGGGCTGGCAGAAGAGGGGCTGCAATTGAAATGTAAAGTAAATGGATAAATAAGTTAATGGAAAAAAGACATACAATCTACATTCTTTGGGAAGAGAGGATTGCTACGTAAAAGCCAAAAATATTATCCTACTTTAATAACTAATGTTAATATACAACTCATAGCCCCACCACATCCCCTCCCATGGTTTGCAGAAGTAATGTTTCGATTATATTTTCAGATTAATAATTATCTTTTTTATAGGAATATACTTACAGTCTCCTAAAAAGAAACAGTGTTTGGAGGTTCTCTTAGCCGTGACTTACTATACTGTTGAGTTTTTAAGTTCTGCACTTAATGGGGAGTATTTTCATAACATTGAGTCTGATCCGTATCAAAGGAATAGTTTATGTGTCTCCAGATCTCACACACACACACACACACACACACACCCACACACACACCAGGAAGTGATAGCAGTTTAGGTGGCATTGACTTTGTCTGATATATATTTTGTTTCTGGAGATCTTTTAATAGTTGTATGATGTCATTTCACAAAGTAAAGTTCATATCCCTCCCTGATTCCAAGAATTTACAGAAAGAATAAAAACTTGGTGGATTTGGGTGATTAAATGAAAGAATTCCACTCAATAAAAGTCAGGCAGTGGTGATGCGTGCCTTTAATTCTAGAGTGGTAAGACAGCAGGTAAAAAGCACTTACCACATAAGCCCGAAGACCTGAGTTCAATCCCCAGAACCCATGGAAAGACCGAAGGAGAGAGCCAACTCCTCAGACTGTCCTCTGACTTCCACATGCATACCATGGTGTGTGTATACTGGAACACACACACACACAAACATACACACACACAAATACACACAATACATATACACAATAATGATGTATTAAAAATTTTAGAAACAGCAGTTCCTTGTAACTTTGACTTACAAACTCATATCCACCATAGACTACTGGCTGTAGGTAGTGAACTCGGATTACATAGTCAGTAGTAGATAGTGACCTTGGATTACATAGTCAGTAGCAGAAAGGAACTTTTCACCTTCCCATTAACCTCATATCTGTTTGATTGGGGAAGAGAGGACAAGGACAAGAAGGACCTGGTCGCTCACTGCCTGTCTGTGTTGTTCTCTTCTCCACACCCCAGAGATGTGTCTTCCACCAGCGTCACAGCCCTGCCCTCCAAAGGCCTGGAGCACCTCAAGGAACTGATCGCAAAAAACACCTGGACTCTCAAAAAGCTCCCCCTGTCCTTGAGTTTCCTCCACCTCACTCGGGCTGACCTCTCTTACCCAAGCCACTGCTGTGCTTTTAAGAACCAGAAGAAAATCAGGGGGTAAGTAGCAGGTGCCTGGGATAAGCAAGGATGGGAGATGGACTCATTTGTAGATTTGGAAAAGAATGTGATTTAAAACCCAGGAGGGAAAAAGCTGGAAGCATCCACGTGAACAGGAAACCCATGGTTGTGGATGCAAAGTGGGTGTAGCTGAGAAACAAGACCAACATCGTTGGATTAATGTGGGGAAGGAGGGACAATAAGAGATGACATCATGGAGACAGGGCTTGCTTGTCCCCTGTATACAGACTGGGAGGCGAGTTTGGCTTGAATCCCAACCCTATCTGTTTCTAGTTGGGTTATCTCAGCCTACTTATTCAACTACTCTGAGCGTCTAAGGATCAACATCACATTGTCATCCATGACGGGGTTGAGAAAGTGAAGAGGTGGAATAGAAAACACTTGGAATTGAATGACTGGAATATAACAAGTAAAACATATTAACTATGACATGTATTATTTCACTATCTGGCTAACTACAAGACTGCAGAGGAGAGACCCACTCCTTTAGACTTTCCGCCTGAAGCTGTCCCTGTCTCTGACCTAGATCCCCGTTTATGTCTTGTGCCATCTCCTGCTTTATCCCCACCTTCCTTTTCTATTTCTGCTCCTTTAGTTTCTACACAAGTATCCACTAGAGGACTCTGTACACTCATAATTTTAACCAGAAAAAGAAAAATTAAGACCTCATCCTAGAGCCAGATGAAAATTGGCAAGTTGCAGAGCTGGGCGAGGGGAGCAGCATGGCTATGCTAAGACACAGTGCTGCTAGTGGGTGCTATACTAACACTTCATGACAGAGTGGGAAGGATCGGGGATGAATGCAGAGAGTGGACCTCACTGATGGGTGCAACTCTGATGAGATTTAAAAAAAAAAAAGACATATACTTCCCAGTCCTGACTGATGAACCTAAGGCTCAGGGATCACCGAGGAAGGAGGGATGGAAAGATTGTATATAAGAGACAGAGGAACAGAGGGGCTACTGTGAGATTGTGTCTCCTAGGAACGTCAAAAGCTGCATCCAGGGAGTCTCACCAACATGACAACCTAAACATGAGATGAACGAGGACAACAACAGAAATGCTAATGTTTGGGTGGAGAAAGCCCGTGGGCCTCAACACTACACAGGGAAAAACAGGCAACTAAGCAACGCTGAGAGTGGGAGAAATAGCCTTCCCGGGGGAGAACATATCAATTCGTTATCCACTACCAAATTGTCAGCCCTGAAATCATATGTGTACAAATAACACTATACAGGCCAAGCAGGTTATATGTATGTATTTAGGAATCCACGCATGCGTGCACGCATGTGTATGCACACACCACACACACCCCACTACCAGCAACATCAACAATTATTGAAAAAAAGAGACATGAATTTAAAAGTGAGCAAAGAGGATATGTGGGAGGGTTCCAAGGGAGAAAAGGAAAAGGGGGAATGACATAATTATATTGTAATCTCAAAAAAATAAATTGAAAAGGTAAAATCTTATTTCTATGAGTATACCTGTGTGCTGTGGCCATTTATGCATTTGTTAGCAAATATTTGATGAACATCTCCTGCGTGTCTGGCACTAACCCAGCCCCAGCTAGCATATGAGGTGGCCTCTTGCGTAAGGTAGCTTATAATCTACTGGAGGAATTCAACAAAGAAAGAAATGTCAGTCAGGGCTGTGAAGGGGTGAAACCCTGGGGGGCGGGGCCTATTCAAGGAGGCCAGGAAAGACTCCTATGAATAAAAGCAGCATATGTTTAAAACTGAATAATGTCTAGAGGTGGCCATGAGTTTCTAGGCAAAGGTAGTGTGGAGTTCTGGAACTCAGAATAGGCATAGTGTTAACAGCCAGCCCAAATACATAGATGGCACAGCCCTTGTTCCCAGTACTGTTGTAATATCTTGGAAAAGATACCTATTCATTCAACACTCTTGTTCTATTCACATATGAACAAGTTTCACGGACCTGTTCAACATGTCATAGTTTAGTAACTAAAGGAGCCATGTTCTAAGTTGGTTCTAGTGTCCATGCTTCTTGATCATAGCTCTTCTTGAAGTGGTCCAAGATGAGGAGGAATAAGATCAGTGTTGCTGGTCACAGTAAGAGAGGTGAGGTCGTACAAACAGATGTAGGAAAGATGGCTCAGAGAGAAGCTTGCTACCAAGTCTGATGGTCTGAGTCCCGCCCCCGGCACCTACACAGTGGCAGAAGAGAGCTGACTCCCACAAGTTGTCCTTTTGAAATTAAAAATTATAAACAAGTGTCGTGGAGGATTTACCAGTATGTGCTTAGAAAATACTAACTTACACAGAAGTAGAATTTACCTGGAAAAGCACTGCCTCAGACCCAACTCTAAGGTAAGATGCATACTAACCAAACTTAGAATGTGTAAAATAAGGAAGTGCAGAGTTGTGCTTATAAGATGAATTATAATTCAGATCCACCAAGGATGCGTTTCTTTAGAACTTGCTCAGAAAGAGTGTTCCTCCCCCACCCCCCATCAGAAAAAGCAAAGAGAAAATGGCCTTGGCTGTCACCTGATAAGACAGCAAAGCTGGTTTGTTGTTACAGGGAGCTGTATCTGTGTCCCTCAGTGTAATCTAAAAGATAACCAAAAAACTTCAGTGTTGTTTTGTTGCTGCAAAACCCACCTAATTGCTCAGAAAACGTAGCTTGGCAAGGGACCCTAAAAAGCCACCTGCAGATGAAAGCATATGTAAGATTACCCTGTTACAGATCAACCTTGCAGGCTGTAGAGGATTTCTGTTTGTGGCTGGAATCCAATGGGCTTAGCTGGATTCATGCATGCTTTTCCTAAGGGGCTCTCAATTAATTTTTGAAGTGCCTGGAGTGACTTCTGGTTAGGAAAGTAAATTCTGTCGCGTTGACCTTCATGTCGTACTGGTGCATGCACACATAATAAATTAAGTAAACGTTTTTAATGAGGTAGCAGTAGCCTGGCCTGACCAGACCCTGGAGAATCCATAGCACCATGAATATCAAAATACGAAACTTGCATATCTTCCCAAGGGTCAAGGGGATCAAGGGTGAACTTTAAGCAAGTGGTGACTCATCTCTGTTGTCTTCCAGAATCCTAGAGTCTTTGATATGTAATGAGAGCAGTATCCGGAACCTGCGTCAAAGAAAATCAGTGAATGTCTTGAGGGGTCCCATCTACCAGGAATATGAAGAAGATCTGGGTGACAACAATGTTGGGTACAAACAAAACTCCAAGTTCCAGGAGAGCCCAAGCAACTCTCACTATTACGTCTTCTTTGAAGAACAAGAGGATGAGATCATTGGTTTCGGCCAAGAGCTCAAAAATCCTCAAGAAGAGACTCTCCAAGCCTTCGACAGCCACTATGACTATACTGTGTGTGGGGACAATGAGGACATGGTGTGTACCCCCAAGTCGGATGAATTTAACCCCTGTGAAGATATCATGGGCTACAGGTTCCTGAGAATCGTGGTGTGGTTTGTCAGTCTGCTGGCTCTCCTGGGCAATATCTTTGTCCTGTTCATTCTGCTTACTAGCCACTACAAATTGACTGTGCCACGCTTCCTTATGTGCAACTTGGCCTTTGCAGACTTCTGCATGGGAGTATACCTGCTTCTCATTGCCTCTGTAGACCTGTACACACACTCTGAGTATTACAACCATGCCATCGACTGGCAGACAGGCCCTGGGTGCAACACAGCTGGTTTCTTCACTGTTTTTGCTAGTGAGTTATCAGTGTACACACTGACGGTCATCACCCTGGAGCGATGGTACGCCATCACCTTCGCCATGCGCCTGGATAGGAAGATCCGCCTCAGGCACGCATACACGATCATGGCTGGGGGCTGGGTTTCCTGCTTCCTTCTCGCCCTGCTCCCGATGGTGGGAATAAGCAGCTATGCCAAGGTCAGCATCTGCCTGCCAATGGACACCGACACCCCTCTTGCTCTAGCATACATTGTCCTTGTCCTGCTGCTCAATGTTGTTGCCTTTGTTATTGTCTGTTCCTGCTATGTGAAGATCTACATCACGGTCCGAAATCCACAGTACAACCCTCGAGACAAAGACACCAAGATTGCCAAGAGGATGGCTGTGTTGATCTTCACCGACTTCATGTGCATGGCGCCCATCTCCTTCTATGCATTGTCGGCACTTCTGAACAAGCCTCTTATCACCGTGACTAACTCCAAAATCTTGTTGGTTCTCTTCTACCCCCTCAACTCCTGTGCCAATCCATTTCTTTATGCCATTTTCACCAAGGCCTTCCAGAAGGATGTATTCATCCTACTCAGCAAGTTTGGCATCTGCAAACGCCAGGCCCAGGCCTATCAGCGTCAGAGAGTCTGCCCCAACAATAGCACTGGGATTCAGATCCAGAAGATTCCCCAGGACACAAGGCAGAGTCTCCCCAACATGCAAGATACCTATGAACTGCTTGGAAACTCGCACCTAACTCCAAAACTACAGGGACAAAGCTCAGAAGAGTGTAAGCAAACAGCCTTGTAAAGGGAGGCCGCACTATTCACAGTGGGACTTACAAAAGGCTGGTTTCTTGAACCTGCATTCCAGTCCCATGACACATGAACAAATAGGTTCACGCAGGTGATGATTCATAGGGTCAGAGTTCATCTCTAGAAAGTATTGCCTCCAAGAAGGGAGAAAAGCAGTCAGCATGTCTGAGTCCTAGGTGATATGACAGTCGTCTATGCTCTCCGGGAGATCTGCTTGATGCTTGTCTATGATGCTGGGCACCACGTTCCACAGACACCAGTTGAATCGTTCATGTCTCTCTTCTCCATTTTATGTAGTGTTTATACTAAAGATTCTACAACTGGCCAGTGTTCATCCACTTAAGCAGCTCCATATTAGCTCCCCTGAAAGAACCAAAGAAAGTTTTTTGTTCCTTAATAAAACTCCACCCTTGGGAGGTGGAGGCAGGGGTATCCAGTTCATACTTAACTACATAGAGAATTCCAAGCCAACCTGTGACACATGAAACACCATCTCAAGATACCAAAAGAATCCTGAGAAGCCAAACATAACTAGATGTAACATAATTGCTTTTATTAAACTGAAAAAAGAGAAAGTCTAGTTTTCAGAGGATTTTTTTTTTCCTTCCTTAGACTCTGAAACAATTTATCTCTTCACTGGGCTCTGCCTGCTGTGGCCCAGCTGTTACACGCTGGCAGAAAAACTGCTAAGATTTCAGCTTTTGTGGCTGAACAAACTAAGAATTATCTTCTTGTACAAGCTATGAGCTCCGGGAGAGATTTCTAAGGACCACCTGGGAATAAGGACAGGGCACACTTGGTCACCTATTGAATAAGACCAGTTAACCGTCAGGCTTTGGGCAAGCCTCTTGGACCTCTAAATTCTGTAGAAATATAAGGATTTGATGCCATCTTCCTTAAAAAAAAAAAAACCCTAGGTATACCTCTCCCTCAAAAGTTATGTGTTCATGACAAAGAGAAAAAACATTACTTAAGTAGACTGTATTTTTCTGCCTTGTGAGGCTGCTGTCTACATGTGACCCAAGACACTTTTTCTTTATTTCATTTTGATCGTTATGTCGAAACCAAAAGTTCTATTGAGTGACTAGGTGGAGCCAGATCTTAATTTTTCATCTAATTATACTGCTGTCAAGTCTAAAACATACCGGAATTTATATAGTCTGATAATAATACAGCCAGGCTTGCCAGCACTGGGGAGGCAGAAGCAGGCAGATGTCTGAATTTGAGGCCAGTCTGTCCAAGACAGCCAAGTCTACAAAGAGAAACCCTGTTTCAAAGAAATCAAAACAAACTAGACTAACAATAGAGTTAATATGTGACTGTGTAGGCTCACTTCAGAACATTTAACTCATCTTCACAGACTCTATGTTTTTTTTAAGCTCTCTGGGGCTCACACACTAACACTGTCAAGAGAGAAATCTTTTTACCAGACACTGCCAGTTCCTTCTAACCCTGCCAGTTGCTGACATAAAACACGTGCGGCCCAAGAGTAGTGTTGCTTCAAAAACGAACTGTATCTACAGCTGTACCTTCTAGGTTGCCTGTCTGGTTACCTCCTTACCATGTTGTTATGGTGTCCCCCAAGCAGAGCTGCCATTTGCTTCTCAGTGCTCATGATCCAAAACAGGAAATATCAGGGTCTTGCCACTTTAAGTATGTGAAGTAGGATTTATGGGTGACCTTACCTGGTTCCTATTTAATTGGCCTGGTACTTTGTCACAGTCTCATAAACATAGGCTTTCCCAGCAGTTTCACGTGTAACTCCTGAAAGTAAATAAACGTTTTACCCTGTGGCATCTGTTTCTCTCTTGTGACATTTTGAAATGTCACATCTGGACAGATAAAGAGTTTCATCTTGAGTAGCTGATCTAGTGCTTACAAAGCAAAGTCCCAGAAGGGTGACTTCAACAAAATTGCTATTAAAATCCAAACTGACAGCATGAAATAGTTTCTTCCTGTAGTAAGGTATACAGTACTTTTTTCAGTTTGTCAGTTTCTTTTGAGGTTAACGTGTGTGCACGTGTGAAAAACAAAGAGAACACCTACTGTAGCACCGGGGAGAGTGGGCCCTGTCCCTTGCCTGAACAATGCAATAGAGCTGACCCTGGATGTGAGGCTTTCAGGTGAGCTAGCCCTGAGGACATGAGTGCAGAAGAGCCAGCCCTGCCTCTTGTCTTCTGTGCATGCAGTGGCATAGACTAAGGAAAGATGTCCCTTTCCCCTCCCTTATCACTTGTCCCCTATGGCAGGCAGGAGAACTGTCCCCAAAGACATGAGAGTAGGGGTACTGGCCCTGTCACTCACTATCTACAGCACTCTGGAGAACGGGCCCTACCCTTTGCCTGGGCAGCAGGGTAGAGCTGGCCCTGGTTATGGGGGTTGCTTGTGAGCCAGCTCTGAGGGCATGACAGTGGGAAAGCCAGTGGAGTGACCAGCTCAGATACCGTAACTCAGCCCCAGATCCAGAGCTTTAAATTGGGTCATCCCAACATCTACCCTATCAGTGAACTGCTGGAGTACATGAAGGGGGAAGACCCACAGATCCAAAACTACAGGAGATCCAAGCCTTAGTGAGGTTTCATTATTGATGGTGTAGCAGAAGGCAGAGGGCTTATACCAGAATGAGGACTTGCTGCAATGAACATTTGCAAGCAAAGAAGTGTGGACAAAGGGCTTACTGTGATCACTACAGCTTCCACAGGAGAACCTTTTCTCTGTTGGGGGACAGGTTGCAAGGGTAGAGGATGGATATGAGGGGGGAAGATGAGTGGATTCACAAAGAATCAATATTTTTTTTTAACGTCAAAGAGGGGAACATGCTATGTATAGCAGCTAAGACATCTATATTGATTGAAGCTAATGTATTAATAATTCCTATAAAGTTGAATAGGATTCATTAATAGGCATCTACAACTAAGAGTAGAAAGGGAGTAAAACAGAATGTACCATACAAATTTTGGATATTTATACTGGAAATCAGATAGCATTCTAGGGACTGAAGAAGTGGCTCCGCAGTTAAAGAGCCCTGGCTGCTCTTGTAAAGGACTAGAATTTGGTCCTCAGTACCCAGATCTTGTAACTCACAATTTCCTATCACTCCAGCTCCAAGGGACCTGACCCCTAATCTGACCTCTGAGCATATCAGCATACATGTGAGCATACACACACACACACACACACACACACACACACAAATAAAAACAAATGTAACTGTAGTGAAATAGTGAGTCTATATTTCCTTTTCAACATTCACTTCAACTGGAATATTTTAGTTATTTGAAGACGGGCCGACATTAGTGAAGACAAGGTCTGGGCTAGGAAGTAGGAAATGGCCCAGTCAGTAAGTACTTTCAGCACAAGCATGAGACGCTGAGTCTGAACTTCTGTGAGACGAGTACACGTGTAACCCCAGCACAAGGGGACACAAGATGGTGCTGGTTCTGGGACTTGCTGGCAAGCCTGCTCACCAAATGGGTAGGTTCAGTTCAGTGAGAAATTCTCTCTCTCTCTCAAAAAAAAAAAAAAAAAAAAAAAAAGACAGTAGAGAACAGTGGAGAAAGATACCAACATCTACCTCTGACCACACACACACATGCACAAACACAGACACACACATGCACATACACACACATACATGCACATACACAGACATACTCAAAAACACACATTGACACACACACCAAAATTAAATAAACAAAGCTACCCATAGGCTAGATTTCATAAAAGTCATGTCTTAAAAGCTCATTTATTTTGTTCCCCCTTCTACAGAGAAGGAGGGACCTGGGAGGGAGAAAGGAGGGGGAAGGAAAAGGGGGGGCAGGAACAAGTGTGGGAGGAGACGGTGGGGGCAGAAATATAGAGGGTCAGGAAATTGAATGGAGGTGTGTAGCCACGGGGGATGGGGAACTGGGAGTCTGGGAGTAGCCACTAGAAAGTCCCAGATGTGAGGAAAGCAAGAAACTCCCAGGACCCAACAGGAATGACAATAGCTGAAATACCCAACAAAGTGGACAGAGAATCTATAGAGACCATATCCAGGGTTAGGCAAGATCCCTGGTTGAGGGATGGGGCCACCCACTCAGCTCAAAAATATTAACACAGAATGTGTCCTGTCTAAAAGAAATACAGGAACAAAGAGTGGAGCAGAGACTGAAGGAAAGGCCATCCAGAGACTGCCCCACCTAGGGATCCATCCCATATACAGACACCAAACCCAGACACTATTGCTGATGCAAAGAAGCACTTGCTAACAGGAGCCTGGTATAGCTGTCCCCTGAGAGGCTCTGCCAGAGCCTGACCAATACAGATGCAGATACTCATAGCCAACCATCGAACTGAGCACAGGGACCCCAGTAGAGGAGTTAGGGTAAGGACTGAAGGAGCTGAAGAGGTTTGCAATCTCACAGGAAGAATAACAGTATCAACCAACCAGATCCCCCAGAGCTCCCAGAGACTAACCACCAACCAAAGAGTACCCATGGAGGGACCCATGGCTCCAGCTGCATGTGTAGCAGAGGATGGCCTTGTCAGACATCAATGGGAGGGGAGGCTGTTGGTCCTGTTAAGGCTCGATGCACCAGTGTAGGGGAATGCTAGGGCAATGAGGTGGGAGTGGGTGGGTGGGTGGTGGGAGAGGTCCCTCATAGAAGCAGGGGGGCAGGGAATAGGATAGGAGGTTTTCGGAAGGGAAACCAGGAAGGGAGATAACATTTGAAATGTAAATAAATAAAATAACCAATTAAAAAAAAAGAGAAAAAAAGTTCATTTATACTGTTCAAAGCAATATCTTTCAAAACACTCTCACATTCATTGACTCTTGCTTCCTGGATAGTCTACTATGCAACATAATTTATCACTTAAAAGAGCAAAATGTGTATAGGGCAGCACCATGAACCTGGCAAAGATATACTAGGATAAAAAGAAAAATATACAATTAAAAAACCTGTCAGCTTGAGAACAAATATTTTGTCCTAATTCAAGTTTGGTTGAGAGGAG